CAATCAGAATATTTGTTTTCCTTTCTGTATACTAACCCACGATTCGTTCGTCATTTAAAGATATACTCACAGCTACTGGACATACATATATTCTTGCATTACTCCGTTTTTTTCAGTTTGTACATTAAAAATATAGCAAAGTATTAATCACCTCACAAGAACGTTTTAGGATAAAAATCTTCTATAGTCTAAAAAAACTACCCAAGGGAGATTGCTGGGCTAAAAAAGCATGTGTGTATAACCTTTTGAATATATGCTGAAAATAAAAGGCTGAGTTTTTCTGACCTTGTATATGGTTCTATCTCTATGGACTGTGTTATGGAGCATCATGAGTAATTTACTTCCGTCTGTTAGGAGAACAGTGTGGGCTGAATGGAAAAAGTTCGGAAGCAGGATGGAAATAGAATCTTTTTGTGTTCACCCTTTTGCAAGTTGCCCGCCTGTTTCTGGGTCCAAGACCTGTAAAACTGAGGTTTAGCGTCTTGCCATGTCTTGCGCACTACTTTGCTCTCTCAGCTCAGAAATATACCAATGGTCATTTGGTAAAATGAAAGGTGTAACAGAATTTGGGGAGGAGTGGGGCGGGGGATAATTGTATATTTAAATGTGCTCATGAAACTGAAGAAATGAAAAGGCATGGAGGGGGGGAAGCCTTGATCATGGAGCCCCTGAAGTTGTGGCAGCAGAGGTGGCTCATTGACCCATGAGGGGAGGGGGCCTCATCCCCAAACGTCTGCACTTGTACATTTAAATGCATCCATAGCCCATTCCTTTGGCCCCCGTAGCTTTTTCATTGTTCCAAACAGTGTATTTCTGAGAGAATGGGTGAAGTAACATGTACAGACACAAGATGCCTGTGAGGGAGCTTCTCCCGGGGGGAGAAGAATATGAAACCCACCAGCAAAAGTGTCCAGGTGGTCCTTTCCTGCCTTCCAGAACCAGACGAATCTCCCGGCTCGGCTGTTGAGTGGTCAGCTGAAGGGAGAGGTGGGGAAGCGCCAATGGGACTATGACTGTGGCTGGTGTGATGCCACCGCCACCAGGTGTGTGTGTGCGTGCGCTGAGGAGCCCAGAAAGTGGAGGTGGCTGGTTCTGGGTGGGGAGGAAGGACCTCTGGGACACCTGTGCTAGTGGGCTTCATATTTGCCTCCCAGGGGAGACGAATTTGAAACTCCCATGTCTAGTGAAGAATTTTCACCACAGTGAAAAGGCTTGTCATCGGAAGAGCGAGCACTTGTCCTTCACACATACCCTTAAGTTATCATAGTATGTGCAACATCATCGCTGTGTGGAAGCAACTCTAAACGCAAATTACTTTTTGTTACTTAAACGGTTCTGTTTTCTTCATATTGATGTATGTGAGTGGAATCTGCAAACAATATGTTTGAGCAAATAATAATTACATGCTGTTCAGTCAATTCTGTTTTATGGTGACCCTTGCCAGGGTACAAGACAGTTATAAGTGGTTTAGTGTTCTTTCTTCTGCTGGTGCGCTAGGATTGTGTTGTTTGCCCAAGACTACCCAGGCTGGCTCTTCTCCCAGGAAGTACAGACAGGAACTGAACCCCCAACCCTGCCTCCACAGCCAGGTGCTCCCAATTGACTAACTAAGCCACAAACACAGGCACCTTAGTCCTAGCACAAGAAGCTCTTTGTTTAATCTAGAGGTTTGTTTGTTTTAGTCTGAACCTGTATACTGTTAAAACGATAGCCTAGCACAAGAAGCTCTTTGTTTAATCTAAAGGTTTGTTTGTTTTAGTCTGAGCCTGTACACCATTAAAACGATACTACTCTCGACTCCATGGCTGCGTTACAATACTAAAATCCACAACATATATTATATTCTCTACTCATGTTTATGTCTGGGTCCAATCATAAAACATTTTCCAGCTTTCTTTGATTGGTGTGTGTGTGTGTGTGTTTGTGTGTGTGTGTGTTATATAATAATTAAAAAATATATAGTACTCTCCTAGCAGCATTTATTTAACATGTTAGCAGCTGCATAATTTTCAGTCTTTATAGTCTCCAGCATTTTTCTTGGACAATGTGCATGTTTACATATGAATGTCTCTAGAGCAAAGCATTTTGGTTTTTTTGGAGTAGACCTCCCATAAATATAAAAAGTAACAGGTTAACAAGGCAATCTTATGCAAATTTATGTGGAGGCAGGTCCAGTGGGGCTTAAGTTTAAATGCATAGCATCGTAGCCTCTATTTGTATTGGACTGTGCTTTTAGAATGAAAGGATACTCTTGAACCACAGGAATCTGGTCGCACTGTTTGCAAAACTAAGCACACAACAGGTTACACATCCAGTTGTGCAAAGGACAACTTAACAAGGAGAACCACTGCACAACTGTTCTATGGATGCAGTTCTTCTCAGATCTTGGAAGTACACGTTGAGTGCCCATAAAAGAAAACGTTCACACAGCAGAAATGCAACCCCAAGGAATACCATGCAGACTATGTACAATGAATAAGAAACACTAATTGTGTTGTAAACTGGCATTGAGGAAAATGATGAAAAGGGCTCAAAAGATAATCACTTCTATATGCTCTTGTTGTTACTGCAACTCCTAGCCTCCACATATCAGCTCCATCATCACCAGCCAAGACCCCTGGGCTCCTGCTGAGGGGAGTCTAGGGACATGACATAGGAGCCAAAGTGTCTGCTTCTCCATAAACAAGCAGCACACAGGATGTACCAACTTTTTCCTCCAACCAGTGTAAGTAGTCTAATCTGACCAATTTCCAGAGGGGGAAAAAAAGATTATATCAATGGGTCTGGCGACAATCCCAGGGAAAACAGTGGCTATTTTGAGGTGGATTGCAAACAAGAAAATTCCATGGCAGATCAGGCACAGATAGTGGGGACAGAAAGAGTTGTAATGCATGTTGCTGGGGCATGTGCAAACACCACATGTGCATCACAGGCCTTCATCAGATTTCAAGAAGATGCACTAAACAGTACATCACCAGAAAAAGAAGAAAATAGTTAATGAATTTAAGACCAAATGAGAGGATCAGCTTTTCGTATAGCGTCAGTGGCCACAAAACCAAATGGACCCCATAGTCTATCGTCTTGGGGAAAGACAGTTTTGGAATAATTTTTTTTAAAATAGAATTTCACAATTTGGTGAATATTTTATGAAACCAGATTACAACAAAGGATGGTTGCTAGAAGGCTGTAAATGGATACTGGACGTGCTTTAGGATGAGGCAGAATATTGTTCAAGAGTCATACTTTTTGAATCGTTATATTATCTTGATTATGTCTTAGCCTCATTTGCTTTCATTATCACTCAACCTATATTATCCATAAGAAAATCTTGCACTTCCGATATCCCAGTCCCCTGCATTACAGTAAATCTCTCAGGAGAAGTCTGGCAGTGTCCTCCTTCCTGGCTGCTGTCTTAATGCAACTCATCCTTTGCTCTGTGTTAGATTGGACAACTGTGGACCTCCAAACACTGTTGGACTCACCCCTAGTCAGCACAACCAAGGAATTATCAGAATTGCAATCAAAGAACATTTGAAAGCCCTCTGTTGCCCATCCCTACTGTGTGACATTTCCTATTGTTTTCCATGTGAATCACTGGCCTGATTCGGCAACACATGCATTTTTCTGCTGATTTCTTAGAAGAGGCCTAATTAATATTATTTCTTTTGCCACCATCAGGTTCAGTTAATACACAGTGCTGCCTGAAGTCTTTTCTCTCGGTCCTTTTTAAGAGAAGGCACTGTTCTTAGAAAAAGAACTATGTGTTCCATGAAGATTAGTGTTGGGACAACATGGACAAAATGAAAAGAAAGCCCTTCAAGAGTATAGTCCTAGATGTGTGTGGTGTGTATTATTAATAGTACTTTTTACACATTTTATATTGTGGGTACTTCCTGTACTTCTGCTTTTGTAAATGGCTCTGAGAATTGGCTGAACACTGCCATGAATGTTACAAATAAATATACAATACATTAATACATGATAGATTGGCAATTGGTCTCTGCTTACCACAGGACAAAAATCTTATGGATCTTCTCATACAACCGATGCTCCGCGTTTGTGCTTATTGGCAGCTGATCCACACAAGTGATAGGCCATGTGCATATTTGTCTGGGATGTAAAAGAATGTGTTTGGATGTGGTTCGATCACACCTCAAAAAAAGTGATGCAACTTCACCCTCATGAAGGTTGAAGAATGTGTGAATTCAGTTAAGAACTGACCTGATCCACACAACGTATGTGGACTAATGCCCAGATCAGAACTCAGCCAGTGTTGTGTAGTGTTTAATTGTTGGACAGAGACTTGGGAGACCCATGTTCAAGTCTCCAATGACCCATGAAACCTATTGGGTGGGCTTGTCAGTCACTCCCTGTGTCTGACTTATCACTATAATCAGTATTCCACTTTCCATCCAAGGAGCTCAAGATGTCTAAAATGTTTTTTATCCTCACATCAAGCTTTAAGGGCAGGCTGAAATATGGTAACTATCCTAAGGTCACCTAGAGACTCATGACTGAATGGGGATTTCAACCTGGATCTCTCCAGTCCTAAGCCAACACTGGCTCTCACTGGTGGCCTACCTCACAGGCTTGTTGTGTTGAAAAAGGGAAGTCAGCTGTGTCTCACTTGATTAAATGTAGGATAAAATGTAACCAAATGGAAATAGCAACAAAATATCTATGAGCTTTTGCACTTCTGAAAGAGTCTGAGAGAATGTTTGGCCTCCAAGAAAATATCAAAATAAATTTTCAAATGGATAACCTATGTCCTCTGATGAAACTTTTCCTGCAAATTTTGAGGGGAAATTGTGACAGATTAAATAATTCATCCATCTTTAGCCTGAACTAATTTGTAAGATGAGGATTTGGTCAATATAATCCCATTGACCAAAACCATTGACCAAATCAGTTCCAGAAACATTACAGATTTGACAAGAGGTAACATCTGCAAAATGTAATTCACCAAAAAAGCCAAACAAACACTTACCATCTTTGAACGTGCACAATATTTTACTGTTTTCAGCAGTTAAATCACAGAATACATATATAGGACTGTCTTCCACTGGAAGAGTCAATACTTCAAACATAAAGGACTGCTCAAATCAGATTCAAACAGAAGTAACAAGAAATAGCATTTGTGCAATATAGTGCTTCTCTCCCCCCCCCCGCCATTAGTAAGGTTTTTACTAGTACCCTTACCACTGGTTTAATGCTAGGACTAGCTACCTAGCAATTATTAAATTTGTGCTTCATAAGGAAATATTTTACCCTCAGCTCTGCCACCTCATCATCTTTTTGAGTATTCCAAGGGAATCATGGGGCTGTGAACTGAAGCAACATACGATTTTAAAAAAGCAGCAGATTCTGTATGTCCTGCAAGTGATTAGAGTATTCTTGTCCCTTGGTCTGGAAACAAAACAATTCTTTTCATCCATCATCTCTGCTTGCTTCATCCCTTGCTCTTTTTCTAACACACAGTGAGGCAGTTAACGCTGCATGTACTGCAGTCACAGAGTTAGGAGTCTAACACACAATATAAATTCCTGACACAGTCATGTCAAACAGGGAAATAAATAAGAGGCATATCCTTTGTCTTGAAGTTTCATCTTCCTGCTTTCTGAAGGTCCAAAGGACAAGTTTTATGGTAAGGCCAGTCATGGTAGCCTGTATGACTCCAGGTCTGAATAAGGGAGAGTCTTTCATAGTTGATGGAAAGGCTTTGAGCAAAACAATGCTAAGAAGGCAACTAGCAGGAGCATAAGAAAGCACATTGTTTGTTGTAATCCTGGACAATTGGAAGGCAAATGGATAAATTCTTCTTCCTTCCTTACAGCTAAGAAAAGGGAAGAAAAGGTTGGGGGGGCAAGAGAAAAGAGTTAGTTAACAAGGACATCCAAGATTTTGTAATTTCCTCTTAGCTTCTTTGCAAGTACTTAAGATAGAGGAATCATCAATAGAAGCCAATCCCAGATCCTATTCTCAGAAGAGAAGTGCAAATTGGGGCCATGGGGCATCCCTTTAGAGTCAAGGCATAGCCATTTATCAACTCTTGCAGGCATTAATCACAGCATAATCAAAAGTAAATATAAACTGCTGCTAAGGAAGCAGCCAACCCCCCCCCTCCTTTCTTTTCTAAACCCTTTGTCCTAAGTGAAGAAAACCAAGAGGCAAACAAGATTTTAACACTTTGAAATGAAACAAATTTACTCGGATCTATCATACATTGTAACAGAATTTACAAGTAACCTATTCAGATTCACAGCACATTCTAATCTATTTACTAGAAATAAAGTTCTGCTGTTATTAGCTAGGGACACCTTTTATAATCAGAGGTGTCAGACAAATACGTCACAGCCTAGTTTTGCTGGAGGAGTTCCCTAGTCTATACCTAAAACAGACTGTAGTGGGTTTTGTTTGTTTGAAATACTTTTACCCCACCTTTTTTTTAAAAAGGACCCAAGGCAGCTTACATCATTGAAAGACAACATTTAAAGCAAAAAATAGGAATACAAATATTAAAAAGGAACAAACAAACAAATATCAATATGAGAGGCAGTAAACACAAGTAATACTAAAGACCCCATCAGAGCAGTAATGCACAACAATCCTAAATATTTTGTGTTCATATTTAATATCCAACAAGGTCTGATTCACAAGACCACTTTCAGGTGTGTGTGTTATCTGAACCAGTTCAATGTGTTTGCTTCCCTTGAACATATGCCATTTGCTGTCTCAGAGCAAAGGCTAGTGGTTGTGCTAAGTCCACACTGACTTTGTAACACAGCTCGGAAAATATAGTTTTTGGATTTACAACTACAAGAATCTCCCAGACAGAATGGCTAAAGGCTCGAAGATTCTGGGAGTGAATGTCTCAAAAATCTTCTTTTCCAAACTCCAGTTCATGCCACTGCACTTATGCACCTAAATAGTCAATAGGATTCTGGCCCTAACTATGGACTTTGTCTAAAGCGTGCTAGAGAGAGGTGCCTAGAGAGAGATTTGGCACTTGATCTCTCCCTTGGTTTTTTTTTTAAAGAAACACAATACAGTTAAACCACAGAGGCCATGATACAGCACTGTGCACTCGCTCTCATTTTCTCTTGCTCTTCCACTCCTATGTGTATGCATGCAGAAAAGTTCCTCATGAGACAGGGCTTGCCCCTTCCCTGTCCCACAAATGCCTGCCAGTGTGCCTGTGTGCACCAAGCTCATAGAATTCTGGCATTTGCACACCAGTTCTGGAAGGTACTGACTGGGAGGTGCAGTTCAAAACCATGAATCTGTATACACCTGTCAGTTGTTCTACAGCCAATAAAGCCTGAACTCCCACTAGGAGCTAAAATGACTTAAATACAGTGGTGCCTTGCTTTACGATTGCCCCGCCTTACGATGAAACCTATTAACAACAATCTTTTTGGGATCACAATTGCGATTGCAAAACAATGGTCTGAATGGGGGAATTTCACTTTGCGATGATCGATTCCCTGCTTCGAGAACCAATTCTTCGCAAAATGACGTTTTTCGAACAGCTGATAGGCGGTTTCAAAATGGTCGCTGGGCGATTAAAATGGCTTCCCGCTGTGTTTAGGGATGGATTCCTCGCTATACAGGCAGCGAAAATGACCGCCGTATGGAGGATTTTCGCTGGATGGTGAGTTTTTACCCCATTGGAGTAAAAATTCAATGGGGTTTTTATTTTCGCTTTATGATGTTTTTGCTTAACAGCAATTTTCCTGGAACGGATTATCTTCATTAAGCGAGGCACCACTGTATGGCTTTTGTAATTTAGACATATCATGAAAAGACAAGACTCACTGGAAAAGACAACAATGTAGTGTGGAGGCCAGAAGCCTCTTGGATATTCTTTCCTGCTTCCATCACATATTCATTCAGGATCTTGGGTAATTTGAAAACTCGAGGCAGAAAATGTAGCCCTGATGTACTAACGTTATAGTGTTTTGGCTGATGCGTTTCAAGTGAGTGGAAGAAATACTGAATATGAGTGTGACATCAAATATCAAGCTACAAACAATCCTTACAGAAACATGGAAATGAAGTAAAGACTATCCAGAATAGTCTTTAAGTATCAACACATAAAGAACATAGACAGCCAAGCTGGTCCAGACTTTTTGTCTTTGGAAATGGAAACAAGCCATTTTTGCCATCCCAATATACTTTACTAGTTGTTACCTGATACCCACATACCTATCAGTGATTAATTCAATCTGCAGCTTCCATTTTGGGACTGAGTTGAACAGACCTACAATAGCCAGTGGGGTCCAGTGGATAGAGTGATGGACTAGGACTATGTAGCCCAGTATTCAATGCTCCACTCAGGCATGGAAGATAATTGTGGGTTGGTAGTGGTAAAACTGGTCCTTAAATATCTTACATACTTTGATAACTCTTTTAGGGCACGCGCACACACACACACACACACACACACACACACACACACACACACACACACACCTCTACATTTTCTGGCCTGGCTTTTGTCTTTTCTCTTTCCTTCCTCATTCCCTGGTTTATGTGCCATCTAGTCTGATGAAGAGTTTGGAAACAACATGGAACCTTGCACACCTCTCTGAGATTTGAGTTGGTTCTCTCATGGATTTTCCTCCAAAATATAGGCGGTAATTTCTCTGCTCAGTGAAGTTCCTTACCACAATTTTGTATAGGCTGAGACAGGCAGTGGAAAACACCGAAACCACATCGACACAGCCGGCAGGCTTTCTGGATCCATTCACCGTGCTTGAATGGGCCACAGCCGCTGCGGGTGACAGACGAAAAGATTCATAACCTTTTCCGTATCACATTCTCAAACTTCTAGCCACCCTATCCTTGAAACTCCGTTCTGCTTCCTTACCTTTTCCGTTCATCATATTCACAGTATCTGCCAATGAAGTGTTTGGGACATGCACAGAAGCTGCCCAGGATACAGGTCCCTCCATTTTGACAGCAGTGTCGGTTCAGAGTTCTACCTGAAAGTGAACATTTCACAGTTTACCAAGAAACAGGCCTCTTTGAACCTACTTTCTCACTTACTCCACCAAGTCTCCCTGGCTGCCAAACGTCTGACTTTATTGGCCTTAAGGGGACAATAAAATTAGCTGCCTGTTAGGAGTGTTTGTTCAGTTAAGCCCAGTTTGTTTGGAGAAGGATTAAAAACACACTGTTAGGGATTACTGAGTGGCCAAGCAGTAACCCCTGACATATTCTACTGAAGAAGTCCTTACATGTCCTGGCGTTTTAGCCTTGAACAGAGTCAGAGTTCACCCAACATACTAATAAATCAGCTTTTAAAAAGGTAGGATCACGTGGATATTTACCACAACAATGTCTAGCAAAGTTTTGCCTTTTTTTTTTTTGCTACATGTACAATGGTGGCTGTACTTGGACAGTTCTTTTTCAGGCTACTCTTTGTTTACAGCTTAAGCAAACATCAGTTACTGAAATATATTTAATAAATGTATGCTCCTGTGATGATGATGGCCATTAGTCATACTGGCCCTGGATCATGGGATTTGTGATCTGGCATGACTAAGGAAGGCATATGTTAAAAACTACAAAATCCCAGGAGAGATTAAGTGACAACCCAATTTCCAGATATAAGGAATATCAAATATTTTAGTAACTATTCTGTGAAGCATTCAAAGTGCTTACGATACTGGTTGGTGTAAAAGTGTAATAAACAAACATGCTACCAAAGAAAGCATAATAATGGTCATCTGTCAGCCTTCACCATATATATTTCCTTACATTATCCTTAGCGAAGTATTCCATATTTTTATCCTTGGAAGACAGGGTAATTTCTGATGTATGTTTAGAGTTCATGCTTAGCTTTTTAAAAACCAATCATGGAAATCTTCAGATTTTCCGTGGAAGCCATTTTATCTTGGCCCTGCCATGCCCAAAGACAAACAGTATTTGATGAAGACACACAGAGATGGCCTTCTTAGTGGGTGCTGTGGACCCCAGATTCTGGAAATCCCTTCTGAAAGAGTCCCATTCCCTGCTTCTCATTTCACCAGGAGAAAATCATCTTATTATTTAAATAGGCCCTTGGCCATGAACTGGCTGTTGAGAAACTTATCATTTAATGGCATTTGTTCTCCTTTATCCCCCTTCAGCTGTGTTTAAAAATGTTTTAATATTGTAACTTATTGTCCATTACTTATATCTGATTTTACACATGTTGTAAGTTGCCTTGGGATAAAGATGGGCATTAAACAAATTATGGGCAATTTACCCCCCAGAATCACTGTAAGTCCACAAGTTGCCCAACCTGGGCAAGTATTCATGCATTAGAATCAGAATTATAGGAAGAGTTATCCTAGATAAAACCAAAGGCTTATCCAGCTCAGCGTTCTGCTCACACAGCCTCCAAGGGAAGCCAAGGGCATGAGTTCAACTGTACCCCCCATGCTGTCTTTCCCAGCAACTGGTAAGCAAAGATAGCATGCAACAGCACATTCCCTTCATATATGAAATTCACTCTTTGTACAATATTTCTGGAAAAAACCTGCAAATTAAAAGAATAAAAAGAACAGGCATGTCTATTTCACTGGTAGCATGTTTCCCAAAGACACACACACATCTGTAATGAATTTGTATTTGTATCCCACTTTTCCTTTAAGGAACTGAAGATTTTCTTCATTTTATCCTCACAACAACACCCCTAAGAGGTAGAAAAAGTAACATTTAGTGACTGGCCTAATGTCACCCAGCTCTCTCTCTCTCTGTGTAGTGGAAGTACTCAATAAAAAGGGAAAAAAGCAAAGTGTGCTGCTTATATACTGCCCCATAGTGCTGTTTACATGTTAAGTATGTACTCAGGAGATCTGGGCTCACTTAGATCACCAATCAGTCATGAAACTCACTGAGTATGCTTGAACCAGTCACAGTCAATCAGCCTGATTTACCTCAGTGTTGACCTACCTACCAGGACTGTTAGACTGATAGATAATGTGGGGAGAAAGAAAACGGTGTACCTCACCTTGAGCTTATAGGATATAAATGTAACACACAAACCAAGACACAGCCGCTTATCACTGGCTCTTCTGAATGGGACATATGGAGGCTGGAGTCTAAAGTACCTGGAAGGCTTCTGGTAGGACTACAGTTCCCATCAGCCTCACTTAGCCTGGTGAGGGGTCATGGCAGTAGAGGGGGTTCACTAGTAACCCTAACCCTGCCAGAGAGGAATATGGAACCAGCAAACTGAGCAAGGGCTTGAAAATAAGCCTTCTTTACTTATGTCCAACATACCATTAATTTCATCACTCTGCATCAGCCGTTTGTCCCTACAGAACTAATATCCATTTGAAAGGCTCTGGAACTGCTTGGTAGTTAACATATTTGGAGGCTAATGTTTGCAATTTAGCCCTGTTAACACTGCAAAGCAGCAACAACAGCAAGGACAACAACAGACTGTATATGAGCCAAGAACTACCTAGAAATATATAGAGAGAGGATTGATAATAATGAATACATTTCACAATACACAGCAATGGAGTAAGTCATAAAATTACTTACTCTGTGTAAGACCTGTGAAGGGCACTACTGGCTTAAAGTTCATGTGCTTTCTGCTTTCATAGCTCTGGTTCATCGCTTTGAAAACATTTAATGTGGTGGTTTGGTCCTTTGGGTGGTGCTTTGGGGCTCTAGCATCATCATTCTCTCCTGTATGACCTCTTTCCATCTCTTTTTTGTAACCTTGTAGGTAAGAAATAGGGATAATTTTCCTTAAGTACACCTATTATACAGAACATTAACACCAACAAATGAAACTAAACAAAAGAAGGGAACTTCTCACCTTTCCCCAAAGGAACATCCTGCAAGGCCAGAATCAATGTAAAAATGAATCTAGAAAGGCAAAGAAAAATAAATAAATTTGTTCAGATACAGTATATAAAAAAGGCAAACATGCTCCACTGTGTAATTCTGGGCTTGACTACTTGGAAGTTAGTTCTGCTAGTGGTCCAAGAGACTTCCAGGTAAGTTTAGCACCATGCAATTCATAAAAGAAAGAAAAAGACATGCTTACTACGGAGTAAATGCTATTTAATTCACTTGAGGCTTTCTTCTGAGTAAGTAAGCATGCTTAGGCTCACGCTGGAGAAAAGTCATGCAACTGAAAATACCAGCTACTCTTACTATCAAAATGAGACAGGATGATGCTCATCTAGAAGCCTGGTGTTGAACCTTTCTCTTTCATACTACCTGCCTCTTAGACATTGTCTTCATAGGTGTGTTTGTAACTTATTTTTGTAAGAAAAAGTCAGCTTAAAGTGCCACTTCCTTTTACTGAAACTTTTAGATCGGAATATTTCATCCGAGTTGACCCTCTTATCTGAAACAACCTATCCCAATCCTGACAAATTCAGCATCCAACCCCTTTCTTTTCCCCCTTGTTGAAAATAAGGCATTATTATGGCCACAGAACACGCCTGGATGAATAGAGAAGTCAGCTGTATAGGACACACATCAACGGCGACTTACCTAGCATTCTGTCTCCAGCGCATTTTCCCACTGCGTTAGGATGGGGTTTTTAGAAAATGATTTCTCCCGGTCATGCAGTTTCCAACCGAGAGCTGCCCGGGGTGTGTGCGTTTCTACGCAGTTGCCATCATTTTCACCCTGGGGTCCACAGCAGTAGAAGAGAAAATGGTAACGGGTTTTTGGTACCTGTTCATTGATTGCAATGGGGGAGAGAACTTTCCCACTTCTCTCTAGCTTAGCGTAGCGTTGGGGAAAACCCAAGCCTGCTTTGGCTGGGGAGGCTTCCCTGAGGTGCGGACAGACGGTTCTCCTCTCTCTGAGGAGGGGGTGGTTCTCCCCCCTCCCACTTCCCCCCGCCCAAGGTACACAAACACATCTTGTTGGAGGCGGAGCAGCCTCTGGCCAGCCTCGCAGGAGGCCCGAGGAGAGTTTTCCTCCGGGAGATTGCCTAGCCGTGGTCTTCACCTCGTCGGTGAAGAGAGACTCCCAGAAGGCAAGCCGCGCGCGTTGGATGGCGAGTCTTCAGGACAAGGCGAAAGGCTGAGACAGGAGGACAAGGACAGGAGGACAAGTCCCTAGCCGCAGAGCTTGGAAACATTATTTTAGGGCGCATCCCCTCCCAAAAAATAACTTTTCCAAACTCTGGTCAGTATGAAGGACGGGGCGGGGGGAAATCCTGCGGACAACATTTTAGCAAAACAAAGCATGACATGCGAGGGGGAGGCGCACCTACTGAAACTCCCGGCGGTCATGATCAATTTAAGGAAAAGCTAAGCACCTATAGCTTGCGGCAAGTAATTATAACAGGCCATTATGTCTTTTCTTTTTTTAAAGAGTACCTTTATCCCGTGGTTCATTCTGTTTCTGTAAAAACTCTGGACTAGAACAACTGGATTGGAGAGCATGTCCACCATATATAGAAGTACCAACCAATTTTCCCACCATCCTTCCGAAAAGATGAATTGACTTCTTCGCTGATATAATTTAAACAGAGTGGTGCAGACACTTAGTAGAATACTCCTTAAATTTAAGGAAATTGATCAGAGAGGAGCCTCGTTCTCTCGAGCCCGCCCCTTTAGTTTCCTTTTAGTTTTGATGTTAATGAGAATGAGGAGACTTATTTTCCACCAGTGCCTCTTGTCAATCTTTGGTGGAATACTTTAATCTGATGCAGATTACAATGGTGTGAAAGTGTTTTATCAGATTACACTTTCTAGTGGAAGACCTGTAGTATTATTTGTTGTTGTTTGCATGTTCTTTTGACAAAGATTAAAATAAACAAATTTTAAAAAGAGAGAGTAAATTTACTTACCTTTACTGGAATTATATTTTAGATAATACTTTGAGGCCTCCACTTAAGTACATGGAATGGGAAGAAACACCATCTTGTCTTTCTCCTCAGATGTTCAGATGTCTTGGGCTGGCTCTTGAATACACTACCAGAGCTAAAAGATGCCTACACAGTACATTTATTGCTTGATCTTAGTTACAATATAAGCACACTCATCTATTTTAACCTACAGGTAAGGTTGCATTGGATAATCTACAAAAACACCACACAACTGTTAGCTTCTTAAACTTAATAATGCAGAACATGTGTGTTTGTGTTCTGTGCTGTCACATCAGAATTGATTTATTGCCCGCCCTAATAGGGCTTTCAAGGTAAGTGAAATATTTAAGGAGTGGCTTTACAATTTTCACTCCCTCATTGAGTTTCCATAGCTATGTGGGGATTTGAACCCTGTTCTCCAGAGTGCTAGTCCGTTACTCTATCAGCTACACCAGAATGGGAACCACAACACAGAACTTAAAAACGTATATTTATCCCTTTGAAGACTGCAAGCTTTGCATCTTCCTCATGGATATCACACATTGCTTCACGCTGCAGCCACATAATTTAGAAACACTATGCCTAATTCCCATTTGAGATTTCTTTAATAAACCAAGCAGGCCTCAGTTCCTTCTTTGTAAAATGGTGAAAACACTGACCTACTTTGCAAGAATGAGATGTCAATGTAATAAAAAGCAATTTGCAGTTACAGCTCCTAGAGGGGTTGTATGGTCTAACCATCTAGCAGAAAGATCTGATTATGTGGACTCAGGTTTTCAAAATCTGTGCCAAAATACATTTACTACTCTTCAAATCACTACTTGGTCTTTCACTATTTTTACATGGTTAAGATATGTATATATACCCTCAGAGCACCATCTTTGTTATCATGTAGGCATATATAAAAAGACAAATATAAAATCTACATTTCTTTAGATAGTTAAAGATACTTGACTAGACTTGGCCTTGTTTTGGCACCAGGTGAATCACAGAATTATACAGTAATGGAGTTGGAAGGGTCCTATAAACCCGTTGAGTTCAATGCAGGAATGTAAATCAAAGTATATCTGACAGATGGTTCCTTATTTTCCCTTGAAATATTAGAGGGCTTATCATCTCCTGAGGTAATTGGTTCCATTGCCATTCTGCTCTAACAGTTAAGAAGGTTTTCTTTGATATTCAACCAAATTCTGGCTTCCTGTAACTTGAGCCCATTGTTGTGTGTCCTGCACTTTGAGATGATTGAGAACAGATTCTGCTTTCTTCTGTATGACAACTTTCAAATATTTGAAGAGTGCTACCATCTCTCTCTCTCCCCCCCCCCAGTCTTCTTTTCTGAGGGCTAAACATGCCCAGTGAAGCACCATTCTTCAACATGGTTCTTTTTTTTGGGGCCTTGGCTCATGATCTGATTAGGTTGTGGAGTTCTAATCATAGTATGTACACTATTTTAAATTATTTGAAGTGGTTTGTTTTAGATTGTTTAAATTGCTTGATGCTGTTTTTATTGTCTGTACCCTGCACTGAGATCTTTGATATAGAGTGGGATATAAATATTTTACTAGATAAATACATAAATAACAGATTTTTAGAAACCCTAACAATAATACTTTATTTGGGAGCAAGTCTCAAATAGGATACATGAGTCATATAAATAACAGATTTTTAGAAACCCTAACCAATAATACAGTACTTTATTTGGGAGCAAGTCTCAATCAAATAGGATACTTGAGTCATAGAGTCCAGCTCAAGCTAACATTCATAGGTCTGGGCCACATAATCTGGAAGTCATTTGCTAGAATCAGGAGGATGCATTCTGAAAACTTAGTAGAGAAGTCTCAGACGTCATTATGTTTAAAACCTTCTTTAGGTGACAGCAAATGTGTGAAGGATCAAGATGAAATCTTAGAACTGCAGAGTTGGACAGGACCCTATGGATCACTGAGTCCAGCCCCTTTTAAGGAAGCACAGTGGGGAATCAAACTCCCAATCTCTGGCTCCACAGACAGATACCTAAACCGCTAAATGCACGCAATTAGTTCACGCTTCCATGACAACACTTGCCAGCCATTCCCCTTCACCAAGGACTGCTGGATTTAGTTGTACTGTATTCTGTTCCAACCATAGTGTGGAACCTGGTCAATTAAGGGTCTTGTCCCCATGGGTGAAAGCCTAATCTATTAGGGGTTCAGTCCCTATGAAGGAAAACTTGATCAATTAAGGATTCTGGCCCTCTGGATGGAAGCTATTATGGGCATGAGTGGAGGCCACCAGGCGTTGGCTGCTGGACATTATTGTCAAGGGAATGAAGAACATGCAACATGGTCTGTCTTCTGCAAGCGTTCTGGTCACTTAAAGAAGGCTCTTGTTAACCAGACCTGTAAAATCTAAAGCTTGGAAAAAGTTGCTGGAGCATTGCAGCACAGTCAGTAGTCATTGCATTTGGGATATTTCAGGGGGTGTCATCCAAAAAAGCCAAAATAACATTTCCAAATGCTAGCAAAAACCAAATACAGCATTCTTGAAGTTTTAGGATGTTTAAGGACACAGCACACATCATCCAAATTATGGTTTTGCCCTTAACAATAGACTGAAGAGATTCAAATATTGCAAAATAAATATGGAAACAACATCCATAATAGTTTTCAGGATCTGCAACCTCAATGCAAAGGCCTACAATTCTTGCCAGAAAGGGAACGGGTGCGGCATGTTAGAAATACAGAGGAAATGTCATGTTCCATACCATTTGCTTAAGTGAAAGATCTGATGGCCTAGAGATAGTTGTAAATAAACCGATAAATGCTCCTCACCATGATGCCATGATTTTGTCCCTTTCTTCACAGTCACATATCAAGACTGTATGCATTGAGACAACAGATGTAGACTGCTAAACTGCTGCTTTTTCTTGACTTACCTGAAAGGGTTTTGGCACTGAACTGCCAAAAGGCCCCCAATGTTTGGTGTCAAGAAAACCATCAGAAAGTAATTGTTTAGGTCTTAGACCCTCAGAGGTTGCCCTTTCCCCCTCCCAAATCACTTCCACCTTTATCAGCTCTAGAAACATGATAAGATAGGCAACGCTAAGGAACTGGCCCTAGAAATCACAATCAAGTCTTATTTACAGGAGAGCACCCTTGCAAACTTAAACACTGCAAAGTGGAAACGACCACTCCCTATTGTTTTTACAGTGGCTTCGCATCCTCGTAAGATTGTCAGGTCAAAATGCACAAAGCTAGACCTAAAGGCCTAAACAATACTGAACAATATTCAAACACTACTTTTTCAATTGGTCATCTTACCACACTGACTGCAGTTTTTGCTTTTGGCAAACTATATTGTATATTCTCTTCGTGACCCTATGGTGTGCTCTGGTCCATGGGGTCACAAAGAGTCGGACACGATGTAATGACTAAATAAAAACAAATTGTATATTCAGAATCCTGGCATCTCAGAAGTGAAGCATAGGGCCCTGTACATGAAATTCTGGGATAAAATGCCTTCCTGATCAGTCCACAAGCTCCTTCTCCTTCAGGAGTTTCGTTTCCTTTATAAATGTGTAGATTTGTGGGATTTACACTTTTCCAAATATTAGTAGCCAAAGGTTCACCAATCTAGAAAGACAAGTGGAAAAATGACATTGCAGACAATCCAAGGTTTCCAGTCATGTGGAGGGTCTCTATGTTGGCCGCCTTGCTGGGCATTTTCAAAAACCAACTTAAGACCTGGTTATTTAGACAGGCCTTCCCTCCGGACACCATTTAAATTACTTTTCTCTCTCCATCTTGAACTATTGTTAACTGATGTAAATCATTGTAAAATCGTTATTATATAGCTATTGTTTTTACTTTGTGTGTTGTGAGCCGCCCAGAGTAGACAATGTCTAGATGGGTGGCATATAAGCTTAATGAATGAATGAATGACACACATGCATACATGCATGCATGCACACATGCATACATGCATGCATGCACACATGCATACATGCATGCATGCACACATGCATACATGCATGCATGCACACATGCATACATGCATGCATGCACGCATGCATATGGGTACATTTCAGTCATACAGACAGATAGATCCATCTATCATCCAGATAGACATTTTAAGAGCAAAAGGTATTTCTAGGGGTGGTGTAGTGCACTGGTTCTTAACTTTGGGTTACTCAGGGTTTGGACTGCAACTCCCAGAAGCCTTCACCACCAGCTGTCCTGACTGGGGTTTCTGGGAGTTGCAGTTCAAAAGCATCCAAGTAACAAAGGTTAAGAACCACTGGTGTAGTGGATCCAGGGCTCACATTACAAGGTTAAATTGCTGGGGATCAGGCTCATGGAATAAGGAGTAAAATGTTGTTCGAGACCCGAGTCCTTCATAAGCTGCAAATGGTTATAGTGTTGGGATCTTTCTGATTAACAGAGACAATGACATTAAATGTCACCCCACTCAATTCGCTGTAATTCTTGCATATGCTTGTGGGGGGCAAATAATCTTTCCAAACAATATATTGTTGTGAGCTCCCTGCTGTATTTTGAAAGTGGATTGATTTTGAACGTATAATCAAGATCCATCCATTTTACAAAAGACCTGCTCCTGATAATGATAAAAACTGCTAGAACAGTTTTGCTGATATGACTCAACATGTCTGTCCACATTTCTGGATATCTGAGCTCTTATGATGAGTGCCTACTCAAAATGTACTACTACATAATATTTGTGCTTGTTGCTTGTCTTCCTGCACCTCTTTTCTTCCAAATGCTTTTCTTGTGGTTGTGTCTTGTGATATTGGAGCCTGGCCGAGGGGAATTGATCATGTGGACCATACTGCAAATATATTAAAGAGAAAGTAGGGTCAACATTTCTTCTGGTTGTAAGGAATAAAGTATTACTTGCAGGTTGAGTCTAGAAAAGTTACTTCTTGTTGATGATGATATTGTTGTTGTTGTTGTGTGCCACCAAGTCACCTTCAATTTATGGTGACCCTATGAATAAATGATCTCCAAAATGTCCTTGTCCTCAACTGCCCTGCTCAGCTCTTATAAACTCAACCCCATGGCTTCCTTTAGGGACTCAGTCTATCTCATATTTGGTGTACCTCTTTTCCTGCTGCCTTCCACCAGGAAAAGAGGAACACGAAATATGAGATGAACTGACTCCCTGAAATCCATTTATTATTATTACAACTTGTAAAATCTCCCATCCAGTGGTCATGTTGGAGATACTGTCAAAAAAGTAACTTTTCCGAGCTCTACTTAAAACAAATTCCTACTT